TTATATTATAAACTTTATATGATATATATACAGTTTTTGGTGTTGAATATTGGTAGGCTTCGTGTTCCACTGACATATGCCACCAACAACCCACCGACGACTGATAAGGCGAGAAAATTGTCTTCCTGGAAGCCTTTCAGAGGTCACATTTGCCTGTCGCACATTTGTATGTTGATTAGAAAAAACCCTGGAAAAATATCACTAGATAACCAGGTTACAGAAGCGAAGCTCTTCATAGACTATCACAATTGCCGTCGAGTTTTCTCGCTTCTGAAAGTAGTGACTGTAGCGGTCGCCATCAACAGATGCAAGCCTGATCTTCCTAGCTACTCATCATAGATGATTTGAAATCAATTTGTTTGTTTGATTAAACAAATTGTAAGTACAGATTTATTAAAATTAACAATCCATTTAACATAATAAAATTTATTTTGTATTAAAAAATAAAACCTTTAACTAAAGTTTGTTTTATTGAATTTGTATTCTTTTTAATTCCAGATGACACGTTTGTTTGACGATGCATAATGCTAGATTCTAACAAGCGTTTACCGATTATACCATATTCGAACGCTCCTATTTTAATATTGCATAAAAAAGCGGGATTCCTTTAATCGGGACAGATTGCAAATAAAATCTTTATTATTCATCGTCTGTGTGTCTTATTCTTTTCATCATTTTACATATGCTGTAGATGTAAGTACAACAAAGGTTGCTACATAAACAGTTCATAATCATGATGCCATTACTTGCACTTGAACCAAACACAGTATTCCCTATGTTACGCTGCGTGTTCTACATCTACAGTTCTTAATATTGTAGAGCAGGGGTCTCCAAACTTTCCAGCCTTAGGGCCATACTGTTTACTCCAGTAAGTACCAAGGGCCAAAATCGTTTCAATTTTTCTGCGATTATCTATGATTTCCAGACCAGTCGCCGAGTACGCGCTCTCAGCAAGCACATACTTGCTAACTACAAACAATTGTCAGTGAAAAATCATAATTACACAAATGTCATTAGTATTTTTTTACAAGTGGATACCGCACGGTTTCATTCGCGTTAATTTAGCTTTTCCATTCCTGAGGGATTTTATGGATAAAAATCATATGTTCGATTCAAGATATATACATTCCAAACATCGATATACATACATATACGATACTCTTTACCCCAACATAACTACCGAGGGTAACCGCGTGATGTTCACTAGTTTATAATGTTAGTGGGATTCCTTTCTATTACTTGTTAGTTGTTATGCTTAAGTAAAATTTTCCGCGTATTATGCTTGTCATTAAGCTTTACCTAGCAAGTGAATAAAACCGAGTTATTATCCTTCTGTGTTTTTTTATCCTACTTATTACAACAACAATAAGCTATTCGCTGTCGGGGCCGGATTGATGACACTGGCGGGCCGGATTTGGCCCGTGGGCCGTAGTTTGGAGAACCCTGTTGTAGAGCATTGGTATGTCAAAATTTATACGTCATTTAACTTTTTTAACTAATCCATTTCTTTTTAATATGACAGTTTTGGCCAACGCGAACAACATTCATTTTCACTTCAGCAATCACTATTCTCTCGCTATCATATTTGTACATATTTCATTTCTGTCCTCTAACTCAAACCGAATTTTAGAATATATATATAAGCCAAATGAGTAAACAGGAGAGCAATATTTCCGCATGGAAAATCTGCCCTACCTTCTACACTTTTACCTGAGGTGGCTCTTATTACTCAATGCTACATGGAAATACCACGTCTGTCAACAGCATTCATGATATTGGTAGTAAAGATATACAAAATAAAAACAATTAATTTAAATGAATTAAGCAGTGATATTTTTTATTGTTAATGCATAATCTAGTATTAAAATCGCTGAGGCGTGCAACGTCATCAATGTATTGCTAAATATAACGAATTTTAGTAAACACAATGATGTGGTTATTTAGAAGTTATATATTTATGGATGTATTCATATTTAAATTAAATTTTTAGTTCAGTAAGTTTTGAATATATAAACATTTTTTTCTTTTAAATTAGCTTATTACACTATTAGAAATATTTTTAAAGTATCTAATTAAATAATTAACAGCTAAAATGAAAAAGAAATCAATAAAATTTATTTAAAAAGTAACGATGTTGCTTCCTAACTACAAAATCATAATTTTTAAATTGGAAACATATAAACTGGTCTACAAAATTTAAGTGACTATATTGTGTGTGTGTGCTTCACGTAACTTTGCTAGAAAATACCTCGCGGACATAAGATTCAGAATACTGAGACAGCCTTTTATATCTAAAAGAAAACATAAAAATGTAAAAATGAAACGCAGTGTGAAATCAAACAAAAAAAGAGACTACACAAGTGTAGGGTTTGCACAAATACTTACGTACAAGAGGATGAACGACAAAAAATTGTCTCCCAGTGAGGAATATGACTTACTTAATTACAATGATTGCCTGATACCATATTATCTTACAATTGTAGTATAGCTGTATCAGTTGTTGGAAGGAAATTGGATTAAATCGTATCGAAAAGTATCTCCTCAAAGTATTCCGCATATGTTATGCGGGATGTAAATCAGCACACTGGTCAAGCGATTGTGGTGATATCTTCATTTTTTAAAAGCTCCTCAACACACTAGTTTGTTGTAAGCTGGCTTCCGATGTAAGCTAAACAAAATCTGCACCAATAGTACCTCGAAATAAACACATATAAGAGAGAACTATTTGCTGCAGTCATAATTTTCTATAACAGTACCAATCTCGAAACATTTGAGCTCAATTCGCCCGTTTATCAAAATGCCTCCCAGAAAAGCAAACCAGGTCAAAGTGGGTTAAAAATTTGAGATGCTTGATGTATTAGAGTCTCTCCATACCAACTGAAGTTGAGAATCGCTTGAACCACTCTCTTCTACAAATAGGACGTGACTCCATTGATCAAACGTCGAGTCTTTGTGTTCCTTACACCAGTCTAAACAGTGTCGTCGATGGACAGCTGTCATCAGGCGACAGCGGCATTTATGGAGGCGGTCATTGGTATTGTCGTCCCGCTGCAGTATGCAGCTGTTGACTGGTATCGATCTCTTCTCCCCTATTAGACGATATATCGGCCATATCTATCGTCAAGTTTTCTTGCAGCCATATCTGTGGTTTGGAAGGCTTTCAAGCTCTGAAACTCGTGATCATGATTGAATTTATTGCAAACTCGAGATTGTACTGATCACAACAATTCTTTGTATATAATTGTATATATGATTATCTGCTTAAATATTATTTGATTGCCTAAATTTGCCATGCAATAATGTAATTCGAGGACCTGATAGATGAGTGATTAGCTCTCTGCCGCGTAGTGCCACAAGTTTCGGCCTCGAGTCCTGGCGGTGCCAAAGATGCTTGTAGTAGTTCGAATCCATTTTAAACAGTAGGTTCTTACAATCATAACCCGTAAAAAGAAAGCATCACCTGTCTCGAAACCTGTCAATAGACCGACGGCCTTGGCCCATTCTGGGGTTGTTGAGCGGCCTGGTGGCCAAGTGGCTACCGCTCTGGCCTTTGGTATCTCGGGCTTCAGGTTCGAATCATGGTGGTGGTATGGATGTTTGTGAGTGGTTCGGAATCCACTTTAAACTATAGGTCCCGGTGTAATTATCCCTCGTGTGCACATGATGACCGTAGAGTGACAAACCAAACCTGGGATTGTTGCGCCAATAACGAAAAAGTGTAATGTGAATAATTAAAAATAACCGAAAAGCATATGCTCCTTCAGTTATTTTTATTAAGATTCTACAAGGTTAAAATTTTTAAGATGAAAGAGCTTATTTTTAGTCAAATTTTTATTCATTATTTATTTTTAAAATATATATTTAACTAAAGAAATTCAATCCAATTCAAATTTACATATGCTTCAATTATTTAATAATGTAAATTTAAAATATGTGGATTTCAATACTTCGCAATATTCACAAAATTAGAAAAATAACATATTTTAGAAAGGGTAATCAGATTATTCGTAAGTAAAAATCTATCAACATTTTATTGTAAAGTTTAAATCTCTATAAAATAGTGCATTAGGAACTTATATATAATAATTAAAACAGATTATTTAATATTTGATGCTAATCGTATTTTGACTAGAATATAAAACTTACTAAACATAAAGCTTTCACTGTGTAAAATATCCCTTTAGTAGAAATTAGTATTATAAAAATACTTTATTGAAAATTGAAGCAATCCTTCACAAAAAGTATAATTTAAGAAGATTCCAATTTAGTAAATATTCGATAATGTTATTGAATTTTATTCTTCCTTTTTTTATTACAATAATATACATATAATCTTTGAATTTCAATACATTTCTAATTTCCATTATTTGTATTTACTTATTTATATATTTTTTCTACTAAGCTAAAAAAAAATTAATTTTATGTACGTTATTTAGTTGTTATTCAAATTACAGTATGAATATAACATTCAGAAAACGTGCATTGAAAGACACCCACTTCTAAAAAAATAATGAGTGGTCATCATATATTTTTTTTAATTCTACTTTTAGTAGGAATACAGAAAAAAGCCATTTGAAAAGCGTATACTTATTTAATAAAATGAATAAAAATAGTAATAAAATGAATAAAATATACAAATACATTAACACATTCAAGTCTATGAAATTACATGATACTGTATTGTATAATTAAGTAATCAAACGGCCGTTGTTGTTGTTGTTGTTGTTTCTTATCCCACTTGGCTGGCCAAGCCCACGAGCCCATATGGACTCATGATTGAAGGGGAAGGAAGCAGCTTCTGTTGTGATGGAGCACCCGTAGGTAGAAGCCTGACTTTTGCTCCGTGACGCTCTTACAGTCATAGAAGACCGGGACCTACGGCTTAAAGTGGATTCCGAACCACTACAAACATCCATGGCACCGCCGGGATTCGAACCCGAAACCTGTGGCACCGAGCGCCAGAGCGCTAGACACTCGGCCATTCAGGTCCCAAATTTGCCAACGGCACGCGGTGTTCCCAGGTGGTCACCCACCCAAGTACTGACCGCGCCCAATGATGCTTGACTTCGGTGATCGGCCGTTTGAGCCAACGGCCGTACCATGCTGAATATACCGGTTCTCGTTAGATCACCGAAGTCAAGCATCATTGGGCGCGGTCAGTACTTGGGGTGACCACCTGGGAACACCGCGTGCCGTTGGCAAATTTGGGACCTGAATGGCCGAGTGTCTAGCGCTCTGGCGCTCGGTGCCACAGGTTTCGGGTTCGATTCCCGGTGTGCCATGGATGTTTGTAGTGGTTCGAATCCACTTTTGCCGTAGGTCCCGGTCTTCTATGACTGTAAGAGCGTCACGGAACAAAAGTCAGGCTTCTACCTACGGGTGCTCCATCGCAACAGAAGCTGCTTCCTTCCCCTTCAACCATGAGTACGTATGGGTTCGTGGGCTTGGCCAGCCAAGTGGGATAAGAAACAACAACAAACAACAGTAATCAAAAAATAACAAAAACCTTTTTTTGCTTGTATTTTCTTTTTAAATTACAATACTACTCTACAGCTTTAATATAAATATTTCACAATCTGAATTTATTATAAAATTTACTATATAACTTATACCGCTAAAAATCCTTATAGTCCATGTTTAAGATACAGAAATGAAAGGTTCTATACAATGGGGGTTAAGGAATTTTACTGAATCTTTAAAACTATTAAACAATTTTCCGTTTGTTTATGTAATTTAATTAATTTTCAGTATATTTATATGATTTAATTAATTTTCAGTATATTTTTATGATTTAATTAATTTTCAGTCTGTTTATGTCATTTAATAATTCTCCAGTATGTTTAGTTAATTTAAAATAATTCACTCAATATACGCTATAATAATTTAAATACATTTTTTTCTGATATATTGGTGGTAAGTATCTATACTTGGTACGTATCGTATACTTGCTATAGGTGGTACGTACTTGTACTTACTTAGTACTTATTTTTCTGGTACATAAGTTCTACTTATTCATACCATGATTTTAAGGGTAAATAATTTATAATGTCAAGAAAATTCCATTTCTGTTATTGAAGTGCAGGAAAATGACATAAATGCTTTAGATAGAGAAGTAAACGAATTAACTAATGAAATTTTTTGTCTAGGCAAGAACTAAGAATATCATCAGTTAATTGCTTACTTCACTATATAAAACATTTACGTTATTTTCGTGCATTTCAATAACAGAAATAGAATTTCCTTGATTTTATAAAATTATTTACTTGAGTAATTAATCGAGTAATCTTACCTTTTACAAATTTGCTTGTGTTTTAGAAAATCTTCAATGTTGCGATGTGACCTTCCCAATGTAAGTACGATGCTATGAGACGCGATGCTACGCACTTTGTTATTTCAGCTCCGTTGAGCAAAATGTTCGATATTGTTGAAAAGTCGTAAAAACGCGTTTTTATGCTCCAGCTCGATTTATTACTAGACTGAGAAAAGATACATGTAGCAAAATACTTGGCGAATGAAGAATGGCATCTTACGGAGAACGAAATATTACACAAATTCTCTAAATACAGTTATAGTCTAAACAAAGGATACTTAGAGACTTTTGAACTTTTAGTGGTAACTACCCCGTATTCATGTGTCGTACGGAAGAAATCTCGCAAAACTCCCACCAAGCAACCTAATTCTTAACACGAGATGCTTATATGCATTGTCACAACTTCCCCTGAATTTCCTCGTTTGTGAAATCAGTGATTACAACGAATGTCAACAGAGGAATCGAACCTGACTCCTCGGACTATTACTCACGTTGCTTCTGGAGCTCGAATCCGGGCCAAACAAATATACATTCTAAAATTGTCCATAAAATAAAATAGTTTCTGTCTCTATCTCGAAAAAAGGCCATGACAAATCCATCGAAAAATCCGACGTTGAACTTCAGAAGAGAAAAGGCAAACACAGATGCACCTCCAGAAGAGCTCTTACAAAACTGAGGTGCCAAAACGTCAGTGTAGCACGTAGTTGTAGTACCGTCCTAGTAGTAGAATTCCACATAAAGCATATACTTCCACCTGCGGCATATATTTCTATGAAAAATTCTTTTTAGCTTTGACCTTTTCGATTTTGACCTTTTCTTTTTTTCAGTTTGATATAATATTGGCATAATAAAACTAAATCTGTTATAAATATTGGACACCAGGAACATTTTTGTTACTGCTGCTTTTGGCCTGTCCTGTATGATCAATATTTATAAAACTACAATTTACCGCATGTTTTAAATTAAAAGGCAAAGTTATCATAGTAACAAAAGTCTCGCGTTCTTCTTCAATTAACAACAACAAATAACTTTGCCCTAAACAGCATCATTAATAATAATAATAATAGAACGTGTCAAAAGAATAACAGAATAATAAAACCAGCATCATAAAGAAAAATAAAATAATAAAAATAGCAACATTAATCATTATAATAGAATCAACATCAATATGAATAATAGAACCAGCATAATCATAAAAGAATAATATAATTATCAAGAATTATAAAACAATAGGACCAGCATCACAAAGAATAATATAGCAGTAAAACCAACATCATAAATTATAATAATAAAATCAGCATCTGTAATGATAATAGAACCAGCATCATTAACAATAATAGAATAGAATCAGCCACCTTTAGAAAAGAAAATCTCGTCAAGAAAAAGAAAAAAATAAATGGCATGACGACAATCACCAATAACCCAAAAGGATCAATAAAGAGATTCTTTCGTGGTCCCCTAAAAGACTCCGGATCAAAGTTTGAGAACAACTTATTTAAAACAAACTGACAGAAAATAATAATTCTTTAACATACTACAATCAAATGTTCTGAATCCCTCTTTATCTTTCAAAATCTTAAGTGGTACTACAAAAAGAAAATTCATTCTTTCCTCCTTCCAATTTCAGTCAAATTAATTCGATTTCAACTTCCGCAAGAGCACTTGTTACAGGAGCGGAAAATAAAACGCCTCTACAGGATCAGTATCATAATGCTGTCCCCTGTCTTGAGGTGTTCCCGCGGGTTTTGATGGATGTCGGCGCCGAAGGCTCCAGACAACCTTCATTCATTTCAAGTTATAAAACAATTTACATCGAGGGGACCTTCTCCTTTTTTTAATTTTTATTAGATTTTTTTATCATCCCAAGTCCCTATCCTCTCATTCATCGGGAAGGGAATAATGCTGGGGGGAGTGGGGAGATCGATGTTGGAAGATCCCCCCCCGCCTCCCCGGTTCCATCCCCTTCGGTCCCAAACCATCGAGAACCAATGAAATGCTGGTACCTATTCAAATGGGGACGATAATTTATCATGACTCAAATGATTCCGATTTTGCTGGAAATACATTAAGGATTCGAGAAAGGGGTGGTGGAAGAAAAAGAAAAAAAAAATAATAATAATAAAATAGAGGAAGAATGAAGTAGTTAATAAAAAACAATAATAATAATAAGTAAATAAACAAAACGATGAAATATTGATTAGCTGATGTTTTACTCCGCAAATTGGAATATATACCCTCTTCGTTTTCTGGGAGAGGAGGGAAAAAATATTTAACGATGATGATGAGGTATAATTTGGGATCAGACACGGAGTAATACCGACAACAAAGTTATTTCTGGGGATCGATGAAATAAGCTTGGCGGATGGCTTTTATAGGGATGGAGTACATAGAGGGGTAATGAGACTGGGGACTTCAGAAGCGATATTTTAAAGTCTTTTTCCTTCTGCAAAGGGAAGAAGTAAGAAACAGGCAGCAGAGCGATTATTGAATTAGTTTTGCAACCGGACACTTTATCGATTCCGGAAGAAAATGAACGATATTTCCGATGATTCATCAAAATTGAATTAAGACTTCGTTCATGGGCTTGTTGTCCGGTACTAAGTCAACAAAGTCTTTAATTTTTGTCAAGTTACTTAAAGTAAAGGAAGTAATGGAATGTTTTTTCCTTTTTTCCAAAATATCTATTTTTTTTTAGTTATTTATGGGGTACTATTAACATTTAGGGGATCTTTAAATGACTTATTGTTGACTGTATTCATGAATTAATGAGATTTTCCAAAGGAAGCTGGAGGATTCAATGGAATATATCAATAAAGAACAGTGATACTTGGTTGTAAATATTTTAGTAGAAAAAATTTTACTGTTTTTTAAAATATGCATCACCATTCCATATCACTTGTTGTAAATTTTGACAATGGTTCCCTAAAAGACTCCGGATCAATGTTTGAGAACAACTCACTTAATACAAACTGGAAGAAAATAATAGCACTTTAACATACAATCAAAAGTTCTGAATCCCTCCTTAACTTTCAAAACCGCAGGTGGTGCTACAAAAAAAATTCATTCTTTCCTCCCTAGAATTTCAGTCAAATTAATTCGATTTTACCCTTCCGCACGAGCACTTGTTATAGGAGCGGAAAATAAAACGCCTCTACAGGTTTAGTATCATAGTGCTGTCCCCTGTCTTGAGGTGTTCCCGCGGGTTTTGATGGATGTAGGCGGCCAAGGGCTCCAGACAACCCCCATTCATCTGAAGTTATGAAATAATTTACATCGAGGGGACCTTCCTTTTATATTTTTTTAAAACATTTATTAGATTTTTTTTATCATCCCAAATCCCTATCCTCCCATGGATCGGGAAGGGAATAATGCTGGGGGGGAGGGGCTGGGCATCGATGTTGGAAGACCCCTCCACCCCCAATTCCGTCCCCTCAGTTCCCACACCATCGAGAACCAATGAAATGCTGGTACCTATTCAAATGTGGACGATAATTTATCATGACTCAAATGATTCCGATTTTGCTGGAAATGCATTAAGGATTCGAGTAAGGAGGGGAAGAAAGAGAGTAAAATAATAATTATAATAAAAAAATAATAAAACCAGCATCATTAAGAATAATAGTATATTATAAGCAGCATCATTAAGTATGAGAGAACAGTAGAACCAGCATTAAAGATTAGCATAATCATGAATAAAAAAACAATAGAATCAGCATTACAAAGTATAATAAACTAATAAAAATAGCATCATTAAGAATAATAATAAT